CAGATATAAGCTTTTTCTGATCGGCTTAACGCGGTTCCGCGTCGATAGATGAAATTACAGGCACATGAGACCTGTCAAGTTATGTCTCAGGGTGACGGGCGCTGTGGCAGTGCCCCCATATCTTTATGATTTAAAGCTCTGTTATGAGGAGGCGTGTGGCTTACTACCAGGCGCACGACTTGTACGTCCCGTCATTGGTATGATAAAAAAAAATGTGGTGACTGCCTTATGCTCACATTAGTGTTTGGCGGCAGAAATACGCATAATGGTAGTACCTTTCCTTCCTTTCCTCTTGAACTCTTTCACAAGGATCTCTACCGCTGCTAAAAACCTATTTAAGAGTCAAGCTTTTTTCGGTGTAACCTCCTCCATTTCTTATCAGTTCCTTGACCTTGTATAACTGCTTACTTTGGTATTCACTTTTATTTGCTCACTGTATAATCGATCTTCGTCTCTCTCTTTCCTTCTATCTTCCTTTCAATTACAATGCAATTTCAATTAACTGCCTCCGTGGCCGAACGGTTACCATGCCGGACTGCCACGCAGAGGTCCCAGGTTCGATTCCTGGGCCGGGAGAAATATTTGTATGGCCTACAATTATTTCTCTCGTGAGTTTGGGTGTAATTTGTGGTTATCTATGTGTGTCCATGGCACCCGCGACACAGGGTTTCGTTCGAGTGTGTGCGTTATTTATTTATTTAATGCAGCGGGTATATTTGAAAAGAAAAACAGGTTTCATGAAATTACACTTCAAAGCATATTTGAAAAAAACCTACTGATATTGACTTTAAGGCTGAGGTTTGCCTAAGCAACTTCGACTCCGACTAAGCAAAGATGGCGAGTTAAGCAAGTTTTTCGTATTTACAAAACGACCTTTGCCTAAGTTTAAGCAAAAAATTAAATTAGACTGAATTTACTTCGAAATTTCTTGCTTAACCCATCACCGCGCGTGCTATGGACACACTTTGAGCCTAACGATTTTGGTACTGTAGCGTCCTAGAGCCACAGCTCTAATCCACAGCTGTGTTTTCAATCACCATTAAAAAAAGTTTTATAAAAATTTAAAAAAAACGAACAATTACAAAAAAATCAAAAAAATATAAACATTTTTACCAAAATCGTTGAGGACACCTAGAAAGCGTGAAGGCTATGCGCAAGCAATCTCGCTAAATTTTCTCGCAATTTCAGGCTAAATATAATTTACAGTAGGTATTTTAAATGCTTATTTACCGAAGCTACACGAAGTTGTAAGCATATCACATTTCGTGGCTCGTGTATGCAACCAAAAGTTAACAATGGAAAGTAATGAAATAATACGGCTGAGAAATAGCCGGAAGTCATAACAACACCTGTAATACGAATCACAATTCATTGATGACATTTGCAACATCAACAATGGCGTGTCGACTGCAGAGAAGTGATCAATGTACAATGTATATCGATTAATAGAAATCGATTCAAGGTCTGAATCGAAGGTCGTAGAATAATATAACATTATGCAGCATAGGAAGCTGCATTGTTTACGATAGAATACGGTAATAATAATTACGGTAATGGTAATGGGGCTGGCGAGTTATTTTGACTTACGTAATTTTGAAGTTAGATTCACAATCATCATTTACTTTAAAGGTGATGGAAAATATTATGATAAAACCTGCATGTAAAAATTATTAAAACATGAAGGCAGGTATTTTATCCGCACTGGGCTAACGCGTAGATTACGGCCTCGACCCCTTTCTCTAGTGGAAACTGTGGCGTACGATTCGTTGCCAAAAGTAAAATAATAAAGGCACCATTTCAAAGAAAAATAGATACCTAGCACTATTTTTTTGTGAGCTGTTGGAATGATATTTATAGAATAGGATGTTACTTATAGCATTATCACACATAACCTCCTCAGGCGCCGAGTATCAAAATGTATATAATAAGTAATTCAGACCCAGCCAATATTATACCTATAATCACGATAACGCCAAGTGTACAAAGTAATGAAAATATCGCTTTCAAATTGTATGTATATCTATACGACTATAGTGTATCTACAAAAATACGTTTGTCATGCAAGTCTGAAGCGTGTAAATATATTTAGCACATATTGTTGTACATTGGGCGTTTAGCGCTTTTCCCATTATAATAATAATAAAGCACATACTCTTATGGTTATCCCCGTACTAGGGAAACACTGTATCGCGGTGCCATAGACACACACTTAGACAACGACGAGAAAAATAAATGTAGGCCATACAAATATTTCTCCTGGCCCGGGAATCGAACCCAGGACCGCATCATTTAATTTATCATCTTTTTCAATCAATCTTGTGGACCGAATCTTCTGCATTCTCATTTCTCTAAGGCTAGGGTTACACCATTAACCATCTGATTTTTATAGTCCACGTATAATCGGTATGTCATTGGAATTCTATAATTGAATGCCCATAAAACTACTCTCCCTATCTCTACACACAAAAGAGAACTTTCTACTTTCACGCTCGGCAGGCGAGTTGACGACCACAGTAAAACTATTCAAGTAAACATTGCTGTCCCTCTCCTTTTTTTATGATGTGAAGAAAAAGTTGTGCGCCTGGTGGTAAGCGACCCCTGTCCGTAGCAGTTTCGGTGCCACCCAGTGTTTTAAATCGCAAAGATCTGAGAGCCACTGCCACTGCGCCCGGCATCTTGAGACATAAGTTATGTATCTGTAATTTCACCAACACCGTTACCCTATAAAACCGGAACGCAGTAAAGCTCTCGCTTGGTGGCAGAAACAGGTAAGGTGGCAAGTACTTCTCTGGACGAACTCTTTCACAAGGAAACTTACTGTTACTAAAATATGTTAATATAAGTTGTATATAATATGCTAATTTTATATCAGATGGATTGAAAGTATATTATTACGCCATTCATTAGTAACACTTTATATTAAAGTGCATAATAGAGACTTTCTAAAACCGGTATAGTAAATGCGCAAACAAATTTCACTCCGTTCTGAAGTGAAACTTGAAACATAAGCGTACGAAAACATACATAACAAATTAAAATAAATATAATTTGTCCTAAAGACATTCGAGTCGAGCACATAGGCACACGGTAGTGCGTTGGCTAAGGTAGGAATCGTGTTCAGATAAATAAGATATGCCTTTTTACATATTTAGAAAAAAAAAAACCAAGTAATGAGTGCATTAACAAATCGTACCTCCGGTAAAACTGACTTCGGGCTCGTTCCCATTAGGTCGTGACGACAGGTAGTCGTGCAGTTTAAAGTCGTAGTCGTGGCTTGTATATTTAAAAGAAATTGTGGGCACATAGAACAAGACGATTAAATGTCGTTCACGAGTTCTTTGATGTTACGACGACAGACTGTCGTGACAATGGGAAGCGCTAGAACGACGGTCGTCAGACGATGAATAAAACGTCACGATAAAATTGTGACGACGGATAATCGTAGCTTCAAACGATTCTGTCGTGCGAACGACAAGGCGGCTATCGTGAACCAATAAATTGTCGTCACGATCTAATAGGAACAGTTAGACACGACAGTCGTTCAACGATAAAATAAACGTCCACGACACAGTCACGATAAATAGTCGTGATATGGGAACAGGTTAGACGCGACAGTCGTCCAACGATAAATAAAAACGTTATGACATAACGGGAACACGCCTATACTTTAAATTTACATTTGCAAAAATGTATAGAAAAAAAAGTTTTATTTTTAAGAGCTACCTACCTACCTACTACATTTTTTTATTATTCAAGAAAAATGCAAGAGGTAACTTATTTAGTAAAAGTCCAGTTTGTTGGCGACGTGTGCACTATTACTTAATTACCTACTTTACTATATATAACATTACATAATTGTACTTACTAAATAAACAATAAAAATTACTTTACGAGGTACACCATTAACCAACATTTTAATGTTTATTTACTTAATTTTGTGACATTCCTTACTTAGCCAATAAATGTAATGATATAATCGAAATTTCGAAGAGCTCTTATATGTTATACTATAGCAAACATTGCCCCCTTTATGGAAAAATGAAGGAATGCCTGATGAGTCTCTGTTGTTGCTCTGAGCCCAAAGCAAGTAAGTAAAGCACTTGTGATATGGAAATTGGAAACAATGATGGTATCACAGATATGATTTTGATTATTTTGTACAAAAAGTACATATTATATGCGCGCCGCTGTGCTTTCTATCCGAAGTGACCTTAAAAATTAGCGTAAAACATCGACAACGTAAAACATCGTATTTGAACCAAAAGAGTTAAAAATGTTGTAAACTAGACCAGACGAAAAATTAAAGTTGCAACATTTCAAACAAGTATAAAAAGTCTATTACATTCTGGTCTAGAATGTAGGACAGTCTAAATAATGATAGTTAAAAACGCGTTGCAATATTTATGCAGTCATGCTTAACGTACTGATTTCATGCATGAAAGTAATGAAGGTGTAAATTTTCTTTTTTTCTTAGTTGACTTTGTGAAAACAAACGGTAATTTGGTTTTCATGAATAGAATAAACATATACCAATGAAGTTGCTTTGGTGCTTAACTAAAACCAATAAACTTTAAATTTGATTGAATATCTACATGTTATGCCATAAATTACATTGGGTTTGTAATTTATGGCATAGTCACCTTCTTTCACAATCTAAAACAAGATTAACTTGGCCTTTCTTTTCTGCATTTACAAATATAACTTTTATATAGAAGGACCACCAAGCTAAAACTGTCTGCCTGGTATTGAAAAAAATGTCCAGATAGATAATGAATTTAATACATTCTTCCAAATTGTCTGGAACTAATCTCCATTTCCAGTCCCAAAATTAAATAAGTACACAATTTTAATAGGCCCCAATGGCCCCAATACAACGTTAAAATTGAATCATGGCATCATTGATAAAACTAAGTTAAAATTGAATCAAGGCATCATTGACAAAACTAAGTTAAAACTAAAATGTGCTAAGTGTGTGAAAAGTAAATAAAAAAGCAACTAACCAATTTTTCCTCATCAAATTCGGCTCGTCTTGTAGGTCCATGATGGTCAGATCCAGAGTGTGCAGAGTGTCCGCTTTCACTCTCCGGCCCACTGGATTGTTCGGACTCATCCTCTTCGCTAGAGTTCTCATCATTGCTGGGCACACGACTTGGGTCGGAGATGAGAAGGGCAGTCAGACCATTTTCAAGTCGAATGGTTCTGTGCACATAGGAAACATCCACTATATTATTACTTTATTTGCTTCATTGTAACATCACAATCATACTTCAGTATTGCCACCATCCAGAGAGGTGTACACTAACAAGTTTCATTACCACTAAAATTCGTTTTAGTCGTGAGCAATTTAACTGAGATGATGAGACTCAAAAATCAGGCAATTAAACTAATTGGTAAAAAGAGGGAAAAGAGAAAGCCATATTAATAAATAACAGAAATACAAATGAATACATAAATATAAAATTGTGTGCTCAAAGAAGCTTTCATTAGCATGCAAAAAATATAAATTAAAAAAAAAAACAGGATAGAACCAATGATTGATGATATTACTTAAGTAAACACAAAAATAGTAGATGTGACATTGGTATTATGAAAGCTCAAATAAAGATAGACAGGTCATAACCACAATTGGAATTAACTGATTGCTAAATATTAACGTTGACGGATATATTAGAATCATATAATTTAAAAGTAGGTAATGAAGTATAAAGAAATTAATTTAATTTGAAATGCTATAATATTGCTAACAATTGAAAATAAACTTAATTTTTGTTTTAATAAATGGTTTATGCAATGTTACTGTAGTACAGCATGAAAGATATGTAGGGTAAAATGAAGTAATTTGAAATTATATTTTATTAATACAGAAAGTAGACATTATATTCATTCAAATATGTAAAGCTTACCGGATGATTACTTGCGCATGCAATTCAAATAAGATTTTTTTGCTCTTGGAAAGCGATATTCATTAACGATTTTCTACCGTAAATTGGAGGCTGTTGGTATTACGTGAATATAATCATGTTTGGAAATAAAAATTTATGATAAAGTAACCAATAAAATGTGAAACTCACCTGTATAGTTTATTATCTGCTTCCGACTTGATGGGTGGCGCTAAGACTTCGACAGTTTCTCTAGTTGGTGCCATAGTAAGCACTTGATTACTGTGACTAGACGCCACCTTTACTTCGGGCTTAAACCTAGGAGTTCTGTGGAAAGTATTTCTTTTAGACATATTAAGTATTGTGTGTTTGGCCAGCTGAAATCCAGATGTTTTTTGAATGATTACGGACAAAAATTTTGACATTTATTGGCACATGGACCAATGTTGCTATTTTACGGTATGCCATAAGAAAAATATCCTGCTGCAACAACTCCTGTCAAACCATCAATCTAATGTTCAATCGTTTTTTTTTACCTGTTGCAACTTTTTATCCACAACACAAACTAAAAAAATACAACTGAAATGTTGTCAGCAGTGAGTGTCACAGTGTCACTGTCATTTTTGAATTGATGAGGCTGTTGTGATTGTTGATTTAACATATTTTTTAGTTTTTCCTTATTTATTATTGATTTATTGTAATTTTTTTCAAATTAAATCAGCTACAATGGACCAGCCGTGTGCAGACAGTAATGTTTCGCTATCTCCTTCTAAAATACTGGATCGTTTACAAGTGTTACGCCAACTTCAAATGTTGCAGCGAGGAAAACTGCAGAGACACCGTTTAGAGTACCAAGACAGCCCTGAAACTTCGTCTAGTATTACCGAAATTGTCAGTCACTTTAGTAATAGCACAAGTTATAACACATTTCGAAGTTTATTACAATCTTCGCACGAAACTTATAACGATGTTACGCCTCGTTCGAACACAAGCAATTTATTACAAAAAGTCAAAGATCATGACTTAGTAGAAGGTGTCTCAGTATTAAATCTCTCACAAGAATCCGAATATCTCGTTCAATCACCGATATCAACAAAAAGTAACCTCTCTGCACCTTCTAGGTCTGAATCTATTGGTATCAACTCATCGAGTCATAACGATGAGCCTAAACCAGTAATGAAGAAACAAATAGCACTTGATGAGATGCCTATTTTGTCACATAAGCAAGACTTTGAAACTTTAGTAATAGAGAAATTAAAAAATTATGCTAAACCCCAGAGTAAAAGCCCAAAAAAGGATGTAGAAAACTGCACACAAAATAAAAAACCTTTTCTAAAACGTGGTGAAGGTATCGCAAGGTTCGGTTTGAAAAAGAATTCTCTTGTAATAGAAAACACTAAGTCCTTGCCATGGAGAAGGAAAAGCCTTACTACAAAAGTCAATCATACACCCAAGAAAGTTAAACAGTCTGAAAAAGATGACAAAGTTGATGTACAAATTATGGTTAATGATTTTAAGAAACCTTCAGAAATTCCTAAAATTGTACCGCCATTGCACAAACCTCTAACTGTAAAGGAAAAACCAAAACAATTATTGCCACAGTGTTATGCAGTTGAAAACTCTGTTGATTCTAGCAACTGTGAGATGCATAGTAAGAAATCTGAAAAAAGTATACAATTTCTGAAAGAAAAACATCCCTTACAAACTCAGAAAGGAAAAACATGGGCCGCAGTATTAACAAAAGAACAGGATGATTTCTTAAGACAGTTGAAACAAAGTGATTATTACAAAAACTTTGTGTCCCCAGCAAAAAGTACTATTTCAAATGCTAGCTGTGATGAAAATCTTTACAAACTAAGACAGGAAAGAGAACGTGCAGAACAAAATATGTTTGAACTACTTGAAAATAAAGTTGGCAATGAAAGCTTCAATTTGGAAAACTCATTCTTCTGCAAATTTTTGAAAAGAAACCTTGAATCTTCTGGAGAAAGTACACCACTAGTTATGCAGAAGTGTTTAGCAAATAATCCTGCATTGATGCACATATTTTCTGATATACATCACAAAAAAGATGATACCCAAAGTGATGCAGATACTTGTAGTAGTCAATACACAGATTGCAGTGATGATTGCTCCTCAGCTTCTTGTTGCTGTTCTTGTAATACTGTAGAGGAAAACCGCTCACCTCTAAAACCAATACTGAAGAATAAAAAAGAAGATTTGCAGAAAGAGGGCAATGAAAAAAGAAAGGAGGCACATAAAGCAAAAAGAAATAATGATTGTCAAGATGACACAGTCACTGAGGATGACACTATGAATGCGAATATGGCAGATATGAATGCTAAATTACTAGCTACAAGTGAATTGTTAAAAGAAAGATTGCACGAGTTAGAAGACGAAATAGAAAAATTCAAAAATGAAAATGCGAATTTGGCAAAAATGCGAGAAGATATTGATTTAGAAAGGCAAAAGTTTTACGAGGAGAAAAATGCGTTTGAACAAAAATATAATGAAGAAAAAGTTTTGTCTGAATATTATTTGGCTGAAGAAAAAGAGAAACTTACAAAACAAAAACAACAGTATGAAAGATATGTTAGGGAAATGAGAGGAAGACTGAATAAAAAAGAAAAAGACGAAGTAATCAATTTGAAGAAAGAAATTAGTGATTTGAAAGAAGAAATAAGGATAAAAGATGCCAAATCAACTTCAACTATTGCAAGATTAAGGAACCAGATCAAAATAATGGAAAAGGAGAAAGACAATTTACAGAAAGAAGTCGAAAAGCTGAAAAAAGAGAACAGAAGAATTCAACATAGTAATGAAGTAACAAGAAGGTTGACCAACTTAAAATATCTTGAACAGATAAATAAGAAATTAACAAACATGTCTAAAAATACTCAGTCTGAAGTAGGTTTGGATACTGATGTAAAATACAAGGCGTATGAAATTGAAAGACAGAGTAGAAGCAGAAAAGTTGAACCTGCAGCAAAAGGTCTCGTACGACCGAGAGCAAAAAGTGTACCAAACTTGAAAGTAACTTCCCGTTACGCTAAATATTTCAGTCAAAGAGATGCTGTAAGTCAATTGGAGAAAAATGATATGACTAATTTTGAGATCATACGCGCCAATTCCGACGATGATTCAGACTCTAATCAGAATAACATAGAATCGGAATTTATTCAAAATAACGACAATTCTTCAAACAACGACGATGATAATAATATAGAAAGAATATACTTAGAAAGATTTCAATCTGAAGAAAGACATCAATCTGGTTCATCGAAAAGTAATTCAAATGGGTCTAATTTGTCTAATACCGATAAAAATGGTTTCATAGATAACCCTGATCCATATTTTATTCGAAAATCTCTTTCAGATTCAAAAGAATCTATATTATCTAATCACTTATCTCCCCGTTGTCCAAGTCTCAGATCTAATGGCTCAAAATCTCCTATTTCAATACTAAGTAATCGCTCTGATCAAAAATCACCAACTTTCGCTAAAGATAACCTAAATTACTCAAAAGAATCAAACAATTCACAGAGGCGATCTGGCTCTCCAGTCTCAAATCTTAGTAAATTTTCTGGCAGTCAAAGATCACGCACTATTATAAATCAAGGCCAATATAGAGACAAATTGTCAGTAACTCCTGAACCTTCAACAAGCAAGACAAGTTTGACGAAAACTAGTTTGAACCCTACTGAAATTAAGAAATCTGATGGATCAAAAGAACTAAGATTCCCAAATGGAAATGTGAAGTATATTTCTGCAGATGGAAAATATACTAAGTTTATTTATTATAATGGCGATGTAAAGGAGAACTTCTTTAGTGAAGGGAGGATTAAGTATTTTTATGCTGATGCTAAAACATATCACACTACGCATGCTGATGGTCTTGAAGTTTTAGAGTTTCCTGAGTAAGTTTTGTTTTTTAAAGTTGACTGATTACTGTTAGGTAGTCATGACTGAATCATTGATCAAGAATAAAGAATAGCGGTTACATATCTTTATTGGTATTGTAACACTGAATGTGAAAACACGTTAACTCGAACATGAAATAACAAGCTTATAATAATTATTCTTTGTGTATTATGATGCAGTTTTACTGGCTCAATTTTTATTGGAGCATATATATTACGTTCACATTACAATGATACATTTTTTTTAGTGGTCAAGTAGAAAAACGCTATAAAGATGGCTCATCTGAGATACGGCTTCCGAATGGTAGCATTCGCTATTTCGATCCAAAGAACAAACATGTGAAAGAAGAATGGCGGTTCCCCGACGGCACGGTGCTTACAATAGCAGCTGATGGAGAACAGAAGATCGTGTTTAGTAATGGACAAGTTGAAGTGCATGCTAAGGATCATAAGGTAAGATATTTTTTAGTTGTGGAAGCGAAATAACACTTATGAATCGACTAGCGGGCACACAGCGGTGGCAAATCGAAATTTGAAAATATATTAAATTTATTTAATGTTACCCATTTTTTACAGCGTCGAGAATTTCCAGACGGAACAGTAAAGTTGGTGTATAATGACGGTACTTCCGAAACACGATATGCATCAGGTCGTGTAAGAATCAAAGATAAGCATGGTAATCTTATTATGGACTCATCACCTGGGTAATGAATTATTAATGACAATACAGATGATAGTTTTGGATGTTGTATTTCACTTGTTAGCATAGAAACTAATAATCTGCGAACAATCACTGATAATTATAAGGCTCATTAATACATTATCTAAGAAAAAGCTAGTAACTTGAGGTTACAGTGACTGGTGGCTAGCAGCCATTATCTATGCTAGCAACCGATAATATTTGTATGTAGAATGTTGTTTCTTGTGACCTCTGAGGGCGCTGTACATTTTCTGTATCTAATGCACCCAGATGAATTCAAATTGTTCAATTAGGTGAACAAAGTTTACTAAAATCATGTTTAATGCACCCAAGTGATTTAAAGTTTACTAAAAGTGTAAGTTAACAAACGCGACATTTTCTATACAAAATTATCAAATATTTTACGCAGTCGCTAGCGAAAACTACCATTGTAAACTCATGGTAGAGACGCCATGCTACGCGCATGGTAGGCGCGTAGTCAAAATAACGACATAGACACTATTCATTAATGAAACCAGTTTCACCAAAAATTAGATTGAAACAATCTCTCGTTTTAAAAATTCATCTCTAGATTGTACGCATCTTGTGTATCAATTACGTGTATTGTTACGCATAACCAGTGATACGCCTGGGAAATCTGATACGCCAAAATAGTACAAATGTAATTTACTTAGGCTCAATTTATATTGCGGCGGAACTGAATGGAAGCGAATTTTTGTAACGATATTGTACATAGCATAATGAACTTTATGGTCAATTGTGTAACGTACAAACTAGATACAAGACAAAAATCACGTCGCGCTCCGCGGAATTCTCGTGCATTTGCGGGAAGTAGCGCAAAGGCAAGCGCAGTGTAAAGTCGACCTTTGACAAAATACTACAGCCTCAAGGCGCGGTCGCTGGAATGCTCGAGTATTCCGCCTTCTCGCGCAGCGAGGGCGAAACAGACGCTACCATTCCATTCTGTTCCGCCCGCGCCGTAATGTAAATTAAACCTTACCGTTTCTAAATTGAAAGTATGACAAACCTAATTAATTACAAATTTTCTGTTGAGTTTTGTTTTGGAATAATCGCCACGCGAATTTGAATTGTTCATATTATAAATGTTGCCGATTAAGAAGTGCCAATATTGTTATAGTGAATTTGTATTAAGATGTAATATTTTTAAATAGATTTAACTTTTATTTTATAAGCAGAATATTTAATAAATATTTTTACTTAAATTTTCCATTTTAATTATAAAAAAACATTATATATTATACTATATATAGCTCGATTACCACTGACTGAACTAGATACTGACATAATTGTTCTCCCAGAAGGAGTGCCGGTGGGTAAAAATAATGTACTAGACTCGTAGACGGATCGGTCCCGTGAGTACCAGAAAAATCCGAAATCTTCGAAAAGTTGACTGCATCAGGTGAACGCCTACGCGCGCGGCTAAAGTATAAGACCTACCGGAAAGGTGTTCTTACTAAAAATGGCCGCCACCCTGGTCAGTTTCTACCGGAAGTGAAAAAAATTCGAAATTCGTAAAAACAAGATGGCCGCCATACAAATTGCAGAGCTTTATATCTCGAAAACTACAAGAGGTAGGTGGGGGGTGCTCGACCAAATGTCATAGAGGGCGGCGGGGGTCAACTGCCGGTGACAAATTTTTTTCAAGATGGCCGACTCAAAATGGCGGCCCGAAAAAAAGGTGGTCCAATCCGGCCGAAATTTGGCATGCGGACGCGTATGGGGGCTTAGGTTACAAATCTGGGGTTAGAATTTTGATTCCGCCATTTTCCAAGATGGCCGCCATACATGTGAAACTTTCGCCCTTTGGAGTCATTTCTCGCCCAGAAGAAGGGTGGATAGGTACGAGTGATGTAGGAGAGTAATGGTTATATCGGTCATATGAACGTCAAAAACTATTCAACTCCTCGAAATGTGCTCCGCATCAGGTACTACCCTAGCCGTCCGGCCAAAGTATACGTCCAGGCTCAAAGTGCCCAAACAAATGTTCATACACACCCTGGGCAATTTTTAAAGAAAGTGAAAAAAGTTCAAAATTCGAAAAACAAAATGGCCGCCATACAAATTTTGAAAGCCTCCATCTCGGAAACCATTGGAGATAGGTAACTCGTGTTCGAACTAATATTGTAGAGCACGCCAGAGTCCAACTGACTGTTGAAATTATTTTTTCAAAATGGCCGATTCAAGATGGCGGCCCGACAAAAAGGTGCTCCGATCTTGCTGAAATTTTAAACACTTCCATGTCTGGTAGTTCCTAAAAATAATATGTGGTCAAAATTTTGATTCCGCCATTTTCCAATATGGCCGCCATACATTTTCCACAGTCCACTATGTTCCGAGACCTACATCTCGGCGAGTGTTGGACATAGATGAGAGGCGCTCAAGCAAATGTCGTACAGAATAGTACGAGCCAACTGCAGGTAAAAAAAATTTTCAAGATGGAGGACTCAAAATGGCCGCCAGAAGTAAAAGTGCTCCGATCCGACTGAAATTTAACATCCGACCGTGAATAGAGGTTCATAGTATGTATCTGTGAACGAAATTTGAATTCCGCCATTTTCCAAGATGGCCGCCATACAAGTGTATTTTCGGTTTTTCTGACCAGCACATTTCTCCCAGAAGAAACGCGGGTTTATAAGAATGACGTATGCGAATAATGGTTAGGTGGATTTGGTGAGTATCAAAAAGTACCAAAACCTTCGAAAAGTGCTCAGCATCAGGGAGGACCCCAGCTGCACGTGCGAAGTATACGTTTTAGCCCTAAGGTCTCCAAACAAATGTTGCTCGACACCCTGGGCAGTTTCTACCGGGAGTAAAAAAAAATTCAAATTCGCAAAACAAAATGGCCGCCATACAAATTTCGGGGGACTATATCTCTGAAACTATTAGAGATAGGTAAATTATGTTTAAACTTAAGTCCGAAAAGGCAATAGGAGCTAATTGACTGTCAACTTCATTTTTTCAAAATGGTCGATTCAAGATGGCGCCCGAAAAAAGTTTACCGATGGTGCTGAAATTTGGCACTTGGCTGCGTATGAGGCCCCATAATATGAAATTGTGTTTGTAGTTCTTCATTTTCCAACATGTCCGCCATACATTTTCCACCGTCCAACGTCATTGTTCTCCTAGAACGAATCGAGGTGTGTTAAATAAATGTACAAGGATTGTGTTTGACTGAGAATATTAAATATAAGAAAAATCCAAAACTTTCAAGAAGTGGTCTGCATCAGGTAGGACACCACCTGCTCGGCCAAAGCGTTAGAGATGGTATGGCTTTCAAACAAAAATTATCAAGGAACCTGATCAGGTTCTACTGGAACTAAAAATTTTCCAAAATGGCGAATCCAAGATGGCCGCCATAAAAAAAAATTATTTACTGAATCTTCGCAATTATTGATGATGTATGAGTAGTTTCTTCTGAAGTATGTAAGGATACGACTTGACGAGATCATACCAACTACTTGACTCCCTCAGAACCAAATAAAGTTAACAAAAATATATTTCTGAAACAAACACTACAACCAGCAAACTGTCACAAGCCTAAGACACAGGCCTCGCGGGCCGCTTTAGCGGCCCAGCGCAACGCGCAACATACTATACGTGTGTAGCTCGATTACTACTGACTGATGTAGATATTTAGGTAATAGTTCTCCCAGAAGGAACAGCGATAGTTTAAAATGATTTACAGGAATAGTGGCCGGAAGGGTTCAGTGAGTACGAGAAAATCCGGATATCTTGGAATAGTGCTCCACATCAGGTGGGACAGAGGCCGTTCGCTCAAGTATCGCAGATGGGCACATGGCTCTCAAATAAAAGTTGTCAAGAATCTTAGTCAGGTTCTACCAGAATCGAAAGTGTTCTGATATGACGAATTTAAGATGGCCGCCATACGAAATTGACTATTCTGAATCTTCGCAGTTGTCAATGATATACGACTGGTTTGTTCTGAGATATTTAAGGATACAACTTGACGCGATCGTACCAACTACCCCTACATGTAACTTCACTGGAGCAGTCGACAACCCTGCTTCCTCCCATCCAAACTCAACCAAAGAGGATTCACACGACACCCAAAGAAAGCCCCCGCGGGCCGCTTTAGCGGCCCAGCGCAACATGCAACATCCAAGTCGACCTGGTTTCCGTGATAAACGGCACAGTCAACGTGTCAGAGATGGGTGTATGACTTTCAAACAAAATATGTCAAGGACCCTGGTCAGGTTCTACTGGGATCAAAAATTTTCCAATATGGCAAATTCAAAATGGCTGCCATAAACAATTGACTTTTCTGAATCTTCGCAGCTGTCAATGATATACGAGTGGATTGTTCTAAGATATTTAAAGATACGACTTGACGCGATTATACCAACTACCCCTACATGTAACTAAACTGGATCAGTCAGTAACCGAATAAAGATTTTATCTATCTATCTGTCTATCAAATCCTGCTCCTTCCCACCCAAATTCAACCAAAGAGGATTGTCTACTGAAATATAAAGTTCAACTCCCAATTTGTCACCAGATATAAAGAAAGCCCTCGCGGGCCGCTTTAGCGGCCCGGCGCATCGCGCGGCATCTAGTATGTATATAAAGCTACAAATCCTGACTCACTTAGAAAAATAGAACGCATACTTCCCGATATGGTGGAAAACAGATACTTATACCGTTGTACGTGGATAGGTTCCAAGGCAAAGAATCAAATATGAAAAGGCCTGATTGTGGAAAATGTAAACGAGTAATCAACGGCCTGCAAAAATATAATACATGGGGGGGATTTGTGCACTTTTATGAGAGACACCTTGGTCAGTTTCTGCGGAAAGTAAAAAATGTTCGAAATTCAAATAAACAAGATGGCTGCCATACAAATTTCGAAGCCTTCTATCCCGGAAACTATTAGAGATAGGTAGGAGGTGCTGGAAGGAATGTAATAGAGGGTAATAGTGGGCAACTGCCTGTGTACAACAAATTCAAGATGGCGAATCCAAAATGGCGGCCGAAGAAAAACTTGCTTCGATGCGGCTGAAAATTGGCATGCATTGGCCCAAATTATGATTAAGGACTCCTAAAGACCCCCCGTATTTAGGAGTCCTTAATTTTTTTGAACTTTTGACATATGGAGGCCTCTAGTAGTGCCATATAATAATTTGTGCTCGAAATTGGTTTTTCGCCATTTTCAAACATGGCCGCCATACAAGCGTTTGTTGGCAGTAGAAAAAAAATTGTTCTGAAAATTGGCATGTGGGAGTCTCTAGAAGTGCTTGATAATAATTTGTGATCAACATTAGTTTATTGCCATTTTTCAATATGGCTGCCATAGAAGTGTTTTTTGGCGGCACATGAAAATTTGCTCTAATTCAGTTGAAAAACGGCTCTATGGGTGTGTAATAATAATTTCCAGTCAACATTTACTTTTTGCCATATGTCAATATGGCCGCTCTTAAAGAGCTATGGTAATATTTTTAAAGTCATAAGTGCCGAGGCTTTAGGCCGAGGTGTAGTGGAGAGCGAAGCCCGTAGCGTCCGCACGCCACCTTACGTAGGTAGTCCCCGTCGTACCACGAGTGCGGCGCTGCGGATGACACCGCGCAGCACACCCTAGAGGTGTGCAGCCGGTGGGATGAGCAGCGCCGCACTCTGACGGGGACTGTAGGGCAGGACCTCTCGCTGCCGAGCTTGATTGCCGCCATGCTCGATAGCGAGGAGTCCTGTGAGGCGGTGGCCTCCTTTTGCGCAGAGGTTATGTCGCAAAAAGAGGCCGCGGAGCGTGTACGCGAGGACGCGGCAGACGCGCACCCGCTCCGGCGCAGACGTACGGGGAGAAGGCGAAGGCAGTTCGCTACTCGCCTGATCCCCTGAGACCAGCGGGCTCTGGGCAGGGACTCCGGAGCCTGCATTGCACGGCCTCACTCGTCTGGGGGGCGGGTCGGAGGACAGCCGACTCGCCCCTCCGTTGGCGCGGGAGCCCTGGCGTAAGCTAGGGTGTTCAAAATGTAAGGCGTACTTCCCGACGTAGTGGAAATAAGATACTGACTTATAGCGTTGTTGTATCTCGACCGTCTCTCCGATAGATTCTTTTTTCTTGGAAGCTATGCCAAAAATAGAAGTATTTAGGGAAAAAATGCCAGACAACCACTCCAAATTTCTGATCTCAAACTAGGGAGTTTCCTGTACTATGAGTACCAGTGTAACGATAATTCTGAGGGCAATACCCAGAATACCCTGACCAGAACCAATTTAAAAATGTTTTTTGGCTCAAATCAGGGATCGAATCTGGAACCTCCTCATCAAGTAAAGAATATAAGCACACCCCGTAATCTTTACGTGAACTGATTACGTGGCCGCAGGCCAAGCCCGACCCCACCGTAGGTGACCGGTATAGGGCTCGTTTATTATACATATACATATAATGATGATAAGTAATAAAAAGTAACATGAAGTATTTATTCAACAGATGAATTAATATCAATGAAATTTATAATGCATTCCTTTGAGCATGGGCAGTGTGAAATTAAAAGTGTCAAAAATGAATTTAACTAATTTTAATACTTATCCTAACACTACAATAGAACAATTTCAACTGGAGGATATTTGGTATCGCGCCTGCGAGACTGGTTTCGGAACGCCTTGCAGTTGGAAACTGATTGGTTTCATGCTATCTTCGGTGCCAAATATTTTCTTCAATGCTTCTCTTGCTGCCATCTCTTTGGCTGTGGATACTGTTTCACCAAAACCTGTGAATTCAATATTTTTTCAAATTATTTTTTTCGTCAGTTTGCTATTTTAATTTGATTTCACGATTCTCAGTCTTGTTCATAGCGCGTGGTGAAACTAGTTTTGTTTATCCAGTGACAGTAGGATGTTATCCTTTTTTTTATGATGCTCAGTGATGGGATGAACAAGTACATCACACAACTGTCCATAACAGTTGCAGTGCCACTCATGAGCTTTAAATCTTTAAATGTCAAAGATCTGAGGAGCGTCGCCAATGCGTCTGAGATCAAAATCGAAACGCAGTAATGCTCACTGCTTGGCGGCAGAAATAGGTAGTAGGGTAAGTGGAAATAGGTGGCAGTACTTCCCTGGACGAACTCTTTGACGCGGAGCTCTACTGCTACTAAAAACATAATTATATCCATCCACATATATACATCTATATATATAGATTTTGAAATGTGCTTAGCCAGATAAAAAGTCGCTATTTAGTCGGTTCTGGTCGCAAAAAGTTATAAAGGGTGTTTTACTGTCCACGCTGGAAGAAGCTTATTCCGGCGGCACCATTTTTGAATCTCGAGAACCCAGAAAAGTCGTCAATTAGTCGGTTGTAGTTGCTTGAAGTCGATTGAACTTACCTGAAGAAATCATCTGCTTATCAACATAAAGACCAACCCTGTAGCAAGCTAGCAGCGTGTGTTTCCCTACTTCACCGATGAGCCGTGGTTCGATTTCGGCGTCTTCTTTCTTTAGTAACCCAGTTAGCATCGAGAAAGGGTCTTCGATGTGCCAGTATTCGTTTATGTCTTGGCCTGAAAATATGGAAGTCATGGCTTGAATATTTGAGTGAAATCGCCAGGTGTATAAAAATTCGTGTCCGCTTTAGGTTGAAAGTATTACATTAGTAGGGATTATTTGTAGTGTAGCTGCATGCATTCACGTCTGTTCGCCGTGACGGTCATTTTGTTCTGCGCGGCAAATCCTTTTTTTTTTGATACTCTGCAGTTGGTCGCTGATGGCCTTGACTGAGCCACCGGATAAACGGGCGAGCTGAAGGCTCTTAACCCATAAAAAATAAACTAAAACTGAGTAGCAGGTCTGATGGCGTCCAAGTGGGCACGGACCTCGGCTCACGGTAAAAGTCCATCTACTAGTAGTTGCACTGTCAAAGTGGCGAGAGAGATAGCGACACGGTCATTCAGGTCTTCCCTGGGACAACGGGTCTTACGTACGCGATGGGGATGTTCCCTGACGTAGTTGGATGCAGCCACCAAGAGGGGATTGGGGGATTCCTCGGTGTCTGTTTCATGAATTGGGCTATAGCTGTAAATGTAAATGGAGCGGCAAATCCACGGACCGCGAATCAGCGAGATAGCAATACTTCTGTCTCGCTCTTGCAATATGTGCCCTATGATTGGTTGATTTTGTATTCAACAATTATACTATTCCGAGTTTTTAGATTAATATAAATAAATAGCGACATTTGCCAATAAATGTACTCTGGTTTCAACGCTCACCATCAGCGCCAGCGTTTTACTAAAAAGTAGGTGTAGGAAGAGCAACTAAAGTAGTATTAAAAGCAAGTGGGCTAGTCCAGAGAAAGACCATTTGGTATGAAAATCAAAAGCGACATCCAGAATCAAATTAATTTTTTTCTTAAATTGGTAAGTAGATCCTAGCAAAATTCAAACTCTTATAAATTAAAGCACCATGACGTGTGTGTTTGGCTGAGTCTCTAAAATCGGTGAGGCGTTCTATACCTTGCAATTGCGTGACAATGAAGTCTCTGATAAAATGCGCCGCAGGTTCTTCCCCCGAGGACTGGATTAGCGCACCGATAATAGCCTTCAGTGTGTTTGCTAGAATACTGCTATCTACCGGATATTCCTGTAAATGGAACATGAAAGCTACATTGTGTCATTACGAGGTGCAAACACATCTACATCTTTTATGTCACTGTTGCCCTCTGATGAGTATATGAAACTCCGTCAGACGCGGACTTACGATGCCTTACTTTCTCAAATTCGTATCTTATAAAGAGTTTCACTCAGGATATGGCAAAACTTTCTATTTATTTTTACATTTATTATCAAGGATATTAATTTGGATGCATTACTTTAAGAATAGGTAGCCAGTGTGTAAATATAAAAGAAATGTGATTTGAATCAGCCTGCAAAATTTGTATATACAATCCATTTTTTCATTTCAATAACTTTGTGCTTTAAGATACGAGTCCGAGAAAGTAAGGCGACGTTATATCGAAATGAAAGAAATGGAAGCGAGAAATAAAATATAATTGAAGCTATAAAAAATACACAGTTAAATAATGCTGTGGCTCTTTACGTAATTTGTGATGACAAAAATAAGATATTATTATTATTATTATGTTATTGATTACACACATTCTGAGAATTCCCTTATTATTATTATATTTATTTTAGATTCTCGCCTCTTCCAAGGCCTAAAAGATTAATTTTCAATTCTAAATAGGTTAGGCGGTATTCCTCGGCAATGGCGCAGACGGCTAGAACGGACTCAGTTATAACCCATTTGCGAACAAAACAATTGGGATTATTTCAGTGAAGGCCACATTCTACATGTCGGTGATCTCGAGCACCAGATCGAGATACTTCCTATATTATCATTATTAGGGTGGCTTCATTCAGGGCCTTTGCGGCACCTCATCGCTGCGACCATCAACTGATCTATTGAAATCAGTGAACACCACTGATTACAGTTCAGAGCCAAGGCCAACAACACTAAACAACTGAGGGATTTTCCTGGCTCTGTCAGTTTTTATGTCCTCTGGTTGAGGTCTGTTTCTTCCCAATATGGAACTTCATACGCTCATCAGGGGGCAGTACTGGGTGAGGAGATGCACAGGAGTTTTATCTGCTATGTGGCAGAATCTACATTCTCTATTTTCTCTCTGCCCAATACGTAGCATGTGCTTGCTCAAGCTGCAATGCCCTTGTTGACATGATGACCCTTGCCTGATTTTAAATAGAGGGAGAAAGGGGAAGAAATTGAAAATCTTTTGGGATCATGAGGATGTTTTTCATAATAACTGATGAACAAAAACAAAACAAAAAAATACAAATGTAAAAGAATAAAAAACACAAACTATCAAAGAATTCATGCTAACAATTATAAAAGCTTTTTTCTGTCATACTCATTTACAATATTAGAATATACAACATTCTCACGCAAAATAAGCACTACAATATTGACTTGCTGAAACTAATCTACTCAATCAATAACAAGTGTATAACAAATACTTACAGCAGCTAGAATAATGTCTTTAGTACCGAGATGTGTCGAGACATGAGCCAATGTAGCCTCACTGAGGAGGTGTTGTTTGATGCCAGATATTCCTTCCAGTGGAAACTTTGGCAGTACCACTTCTAGGTACAGTTGAATGTACTCCTTCATGAACTTTTCACCTGAAATTTTGTAACATTACATCATATAAAGTAACACCGTCTAATATGCAAAACAATTTTTTTATGGGGTATGTACAGGGAAAGTTAAAAAAATTTACAAACCTTACATGTAACTACTTACAGTAAGCTTCTATATTTTTAAAATCAGCAACACATTTTAAAACATATAGTCACATCACTTAAATGCTTGGCTTAATGCCTGGTCTTAAATTAGGCAAAATACAGAACAAATAATTGAACTCTAGTTTAGGAAATGCACACAAATTTCCATAAATATTATTTAGGATGTATGATTACAGTGAGGATTGAGACTGGGCCTATTATAAAACTACCAGATATTGTCCAGAACTGTAATATATTATTGTAGTATATAAGTGTAGTGACGGGCTGAACAAATCATGTGCCTGTTGGTAACTAACACTAATTACCCACTAAGGGGCTAATTGTAGGCGGCTGGCCGCGCATTACTATTATTTATTCAAACCGGTTATTCCCAAACTAGTGTTCTTTACCTAATTTCAGTGGCAATTTTTATTATTTAATTTTTTATAGTACAATATTATTTAATATTCGAGTACTGTACCATAAAATATTATTTAATAATTAAACAATAATATACTTGAATATTTAAATAATAAAAATTGCAACTAGACAGAAATTAGTAGTGAATATTAGTCCAAGAATGACTGAAATAAGTCATGGACTGCCGAAGTATTTTAATAACCGGCAATCTATCTCACTACCGCTCTACATGTCTTTCAACCCTGACATTGGCGAAATCGTCGCGCAAAACGACGGAGCCATAGATACAAAAGTTGAAGTTGATTACACCATATCCATTGACGCAGCCACAACTCGGAAGTAATCAGAGTTGTGCGCTGCCAGTTGCTTAGTGGAAAATGGCACTTAAAGTGGAAAAGTCCCAGTGCCTGTAGGTTCAGCAGCACTCCTTACATTCACAACCGGAATATACTAATGCTCACATTATTGCTGGGCGGCAGAAACAGCTATTGTGGTAGTACTTCCCTGGATGAACTCTTTCACAAGGATAAGATATTACGGCCAAAGAAAATTTATGTGCTAAGGTTTATTTACCTTCCTCTGCAAGTTCTCTACTGTCTTTCATTTTAATATCAATATCCATTTCTTTCTGCTTCATTTCTTCCTTTATGACATAAGATCTATCTGTAAAGGCTTGTAGTAATAAATCAGCGTCGAAATCTTCATTTAAACGCTTTCTAAACGCATATAGTTCAGCCTCTAAATTCCATTCTAGAAATGTGTTTCTAGGCTTTACAACTTTACCACCTTGCTTCTTTTCGCGCAACTTCAGCAGCATCAAGGTAGGCGCCACATAACGATGAATTTTTTGTGCTAGAATTAAGTACAGTGCATATTTATTTTGTTTAAATAATGCGATTTTGTTAGCGAATTTTTAATTTCGTCTTACCTTGTACAGTTAAAGGTGTTAGCTTCAAAGTTTTGGTGACGAGTGGCATGCATCGTCTAATTAAAGCCATTGTGTAAGTTACTTATAACTTACTTACAGAATTTCTATTAAAAATGCAACATTTTACGATACAAAATCAAAACATTCTATCTTAGAGGATGGAAAAAATAATTATACAACTGTCAAGTTTGAGAGGTTATTTTTATTTTTTTAATAAGGGTAAAATCGTACCCGCCCTCGAATGCCATTCATTCTTTGGATACCCGAACCGCTATCTAGTGTCGAGTAGTAGAACTAACTTCGTTGTACGTGCTTATCATGCGTATATCTCTCAGAGCAAGTTCTTATTCCGTGGCACATCTGTTATCGTTACCAGTTTTGTGAAAAATTTAATGCAGAGATTGGTTTTGGAGAGGTCCATTTTATAATAACAAATAAAAGAACACCATTTTTAATATATAGTTTTTATTTACTAAACTAGTGTAGTGACGTCAGTGACAATGCAACTTGATTTTAAAGACTATCGATGAAGGTAACCGAAATAAATAAATTTCTTAAATTACACAATAGATAAAGACAAATAATAATGAATAATATATTTATAAAACTACCAATACAACAGTATGAAGAAAAAGGAAAAAAGTCCGTGACAACTTTACACAGAACATTACAAAAAAACAAACACATGCCTCTGATTAATGATTTTACTAATCGAACTTTAGTATCCCCCATCGATTTTCTTACAATTTCTACGCAACACACAAAACAATTGTCTCTAACTGGCCCTTTAACTTTCAACTACATTGTATGTCCATATTAATTATTTGTATATGAATAAAAACGATATAAATAAAAAGTTAAAACCGTTCTAAAGATTTGATTAAATGAAAATTTGCTTATTATAAATATGTAGTTTATATGTATATGAAATATTTTAGAATGGAAAATATACTGTTTTAATTAATTCTCAATAATAATAAAAAATCAGACTGCCTTTTTCAAGATAATGATATAAATGCAACATGGTTGACGTTATAACTGTATAGGATCCTTTTACATAGCTAGTACTATTAGTCCATATAAATTTTTAAATCAGTATATTTTCTCGGACATATACAACATATATACACAGACTATGAATACAATATATTCTATATCTGCCAAATAGTACTGTATCTTTACCAGATTTAATACACGAAACAGAGCTACTTTATATATTATCCATAAATATAGTAAGTAGAATACAACAAACATTTAGTTAGAAGGCTTTTAACCAAAATTAATTTTCAAAATGTTATATAGTGAACACATTAAGTTCGTAATATTATTCTTTTTTAATTTTAAAGCAAGGGCACTTGTAAATAAAGTCTTTGGACGGCATAAAAATGAGATCTCCTGGAATGTCATAGGTTTTTAAGAAGATTTTTTTTTAAAGCCAATATTAAAATTACTTTTGGTATAGGTGGAATACGTAGCATCCGTGACCACTTAGGATACCTGATAGACTAAAATATTATTTAAATTCACATTGCAAATAAATCTGAATACCATCAGATATTCAGTTTTACAATATGTTTAAAAATAATGAAATAAAAATAGTTGACTGATAAAGATGTGGTCCTTCACCTAAGCAAGTTTCTCCTTAATATATCAGGAAACTCAATGTATAGTTCGTTTCAATTCATTTTCCATAAAAAATATGCAACCATAGACTATCTATACTTCTATGTTTGAATAATAACCTGACTTTTGGACTAACATGTTTTAAATATGATTTTAAGATGTTATTTCAATTAATGTAATTGGAAAAAGTGGTGAGAATCAATTTGAAACCATCAATATGAATGTGTTAGTTATTCCATCTTTTTAATGATTCTTTAAGAATTTTATCCAAACCGGGTTGTTTACTTGTCATGAAAAATGGATAGACACGAACTATAGCACAAAAGTTAATATTTTTGGTATTCTAACGCCATATTTTTAAGCATTACATTCTCGAGATAGTTGACAGCAAAATAATTTTCTTATTTTACCAAATTCCCTCTCCCTGTAGTTTAGACATTATTATTGTTCTATCCCATTTCATTACAATTTCGATTATAAGAATTTTAAAATAAATTACCACAAAATTTGACTAGAAATTTTAAGTACAATAAGTTGATGCTATTGCATATTTAGTAACACCACAAGTTCAAAATTTTGCTATTTCTTTTATACTTCACAGACACTTGGAAAGGTGACCCCTTCAGGTAAGTAAACTAAGTAAAGTCATGCTTTCAGACTTTAGTATTGAAGGAGATACAGCTCTAGTGTTTTCACTGTTGCCGAGTATCTCATTGGTACAAAAAGATAGTAATAAATTTGTCAAACTTCGCTCAGTGGTATATTATATGCAATGGTATCAATAACATCTAAGCACCACTTAATCTACAACACAAAAGTGTTACACACCAAAACTAGGAAAAGTGTTAATTAAAAAAGTGCTAAGTGTCAACTAAGGTGGGAATAAAAATACAACAGACATTAAAACTGAATGCAGCCACAATCACAGTGATAAATAGTAATTTTGTATAAGACAAACTTTGCTTCTTTTACGTTTTAGAAAAAAAAATAGTAAAAAGTCAGATTATTATGAGATCAACCTGTTTACAAAGTATGGACATGGTAAAAACATGTTCAATAAATAATGTTTCAGTTATAAATAAGAATCAGTCACTGATGTATGTGGTTTGTTCTGAAATGAACAACCTTAAGATCTGAAATTTATGAGGTGACTTTACTCATAATATGAAATTAGTTTCTCTAAGAAAGTCATATCCAATCCACGAAAATAAGTTACATACACATTGTATGCTCTGGTGACTGTTTTGTATGAGGAAAATTGTATTATATTGCTGTGTAAAAGTCACCTCATGGAATCTCAAACATAATACTAGGGTGTTTAAAATTAATTCCTTGTATAGTCAAAAGCAACTCAATGAAATGTTCCATTTTGTATTTATTAATATTGTTTAAGAAATTCCTAAAATTACTTCAAATAATTTTTTTGTGCCAATAAAAATGAGATCATTAATTGTTGTAACTTTTTAAAATATAAATGTGCCAGATTGGTTTTGTAAACCAAATAAAATGTTTAGTTGTTGATACCACCATTGTAGGCATAGTCAGCCTTGTTATGCATAACAAGTTTGTTGTCCACAAAATAAAAACTGTCTGAACAGGTTTCAAATGGTGCTGCAATCATTTCTTCAACTGTAAACAAAATTAAAGAAATCCTCTGTTAATTCATTCTTTATAAAATTATAAATTATGTTTAACCCATCACACATCCGATTTTGTAGCGTCCAAAAACACACATTGTATTTAATGTGTAGCTGTGTTTTTATCCACCATTTAAAAACTTTAATAAATTTAAAACAATTCTAACCAAAATTGTATTGTTACAGACACACATGTGTCATTTGGACGCATAACGGATTAAACAACCAAAGTGGTTCAGCAATTAACATTGTGGCCACTTAATGATGAGGTGTTTAAATTTTTTTTTATAGTATCAAGTAACGGGACGAATAAGTCATGCGCCTGATGGTAAGCTACACGCCTGTCCATAACAGTTGCAGTGCCACTCAGAGCTTTAAATGGCAAAAATCTGAGGGGCACCGCCACTGCGCCCATCACCCTGAGACATAAGTTGACAAGTCCCATGTGCCTGTAATTTCACCAGCACCCTTACCCTTCTAAACCGGAATGCAGTAACGCTAACATTACTGCTTGGCAGCAGAAGTAGGTAAGGTGGCAGTACTTCCCTAGACAAACTCTTTCACAAGGAGCTCTACTGCTGCTTAAATCTTTTGTAGCACCAATTCGGGACCAAATTGTTGGTAATCTGGTTGGTCAGAGTAGTGCCCCAGAGTAATTTTGTTGCTCTGGCATTCATAGTACAGAGAATTCTCATGGTTGTCTAGCGCTTTATTATTATTACTATTGTTTTATTAAATTAATGTACAAATCACATTTATTTAATCTTAGAGCGTTTCAACATCATAATATGATTAAGAGTTTGTATGTCGGGCTACAGACAAACAGTGGTGAAATCAAAAGTTTTCCAATTAATAAAATTGAAATAAATTGAAGCGACATTTACTTACCAAGATCTGGTGGCAGTGTAGGAAACTCATATATGTGCTCACATGTGTTTCTTGAGAAGGGAATGCAGAATCCAAACTCAAAATCAAACGTCTTTAGTAATGTGTCTCTGAAGAAATGTTTCTCAATCATGCGAAAGTGATTGACAGGACGAGGACCCACGGTGAATTCCACACTGGAAATTTACATGTCATTTTATAAGTATTGCATATTACTAATAGAATATTTATGCATTTGTCTTTCTTTATGATACCATACTTATACATACACCATTTTTATAACACCAAGGGATGGGACGAACAAGTCATGCATCTAGTGGAAAGCAACACATATGTACATAACAGTTGCAGTGCCACTCAGAGCTTTAAATCGCATAGATCTGAGGGGCACTCCCACTGTGCCTGTCACCTTGAGACATAAGTTGACAAGTACCATGTGCTTGTAATTTCACCAAAACTATTACCCTTTCAAACCATGCCCCGGTTCCGGCACGGCGTAACATGATCAGTCTTTATGCTCACATTAATTGCTTGGTGGCAGAAATAGGTAAGGTGGCAGCACTTTCCCGAACGAACTCTTTGTTTTCATCATAAACCATTAGTTGTTCTAGTATGCTATTACTATTACTTCTTGTAGTAGTTTCTAATCTTATTTATCTCTAATGTTTTGACTAAAAGACTTGAATCCAAGGTCATAAAATAAATAAATGAATATAAAAATGTGACACTACCACAAACCACATAAATACTAGTAATAGACTGGTTAGTGGGCGGGGTCCGCGTTACCTAGTTTATCACCAGATGGGCATATGAGTGTCAACAGCGCGTCAGTCGTCGTTCAAATGTGATACATGATTATTTCGTAGAAAAAATAGAAATATGCCATTATATTATGTCGCGTAAGTAGCCAAAGTTTAAAAAATACTCCAGGAGTGATTTCCTTCCATCGGTAAGTACTAAAAGTCTGTATTTTCTAAAATTTTGAACAATACAATACTATAATTTCGAAACAAAACTATTTTCTTGCAATTCGGTAATAACAATATACATTGGTTGCTTGTCATCGCCGCTGTCAAAAGAACAATTCGAATGACGCTCAATGAATTGCTTGCATTAGTGTCGTATTACACTTGGTACTGGGCAGTGTTGGGCAAAATTTAATTGTTCTGGCAATTAAAGATTGACAATTAATTAATTGTCAATTGCCAAACAGCAATTAACGATTGATCAATTGTTATGTAATTAATTAATTGTTAATTGTGGTTCTCGCAACTAACAATTGATCAATCGTTAATCGCGTATATTTGCAATTAACAAATCAATTTTCAATCTTTTCAATGTTTTTGATTAACAATTAAAACTGACAATTATGATAAATTTATAGGGGTGGGTTAGGGGGTGGGTTAAGGGGTAGGTTAGGGTTTGGGTTGGGGGAGTTAGGGGGTGGGTTAGGGTTTGGGTTGGAGGGGTTAGGGGTGAGTTAGGGGGTGGGTTGGTTAGGGTTAGGGGGTGGGTTGGTTAGGGTT